CAAGACGAGTGGTTGGCGAGCATGCCTGCAGCATCTTCAGCCGAGGACGATGAAAAAACGCACCTCGTGGCTGACTGGTCTCATGCTGCACGAATGTCCTGAACCTTGGCAGATGGGCAGTGAGACGCGGGACTCACGTCGCTAGTAGCCGGATGAGAGGTTGTAGGAGACGCAGCCTGGTAACTGAAGTCTTGGTCGAGACAGGAATCCCGGCCGGTCGATACCGCTTGCTGTGACTCACGGTAAACCGGGAAGTCACGTGTCAACAGAAGCGGGTGGTAGATAAGGCTGCAGGAGGCCACCACCGCAGAGCAGAGGTAATCGTACGGCTGCGGGCTGGAGCTTGAAGTGGCAGCGAGATGACGCAGTTCTACCAGAAGGGCGTCGAGGAGAACGGCGTGCATCAGCGGCTGGTCTGGGACATTACGCCATTCAACGCAAGAACGGCGTCGAGCTGAATAAACCATACCTTGGGGTAGGTCAATTACAACCGCGGCACTGGCTGCCAGAGTCGCGGGAACATGACAGCCGATGGCTCGTCGAAGGGCGCGTTTTCCGAGTCACCATTGTTGCTGGTGAGAGGAGCACAGAGACGTGAGACGACGTTGTGGAGGCGGCGGACGGAGCCGTACCGAATCTCGCCACATTATTACACCCGGGTCCAAGCTCAGCGGCGGCGGCTGTCAGCGTCCGACACGCCTGGTGCCTGTCCCCATTCTGTCCTGGTGCCGCTCGAGCTTGAAATCAGCTGCGCGAAAAGCACGGCGTGGTGGTCAAGAGAATGATGATGATGATGATGCACTACACAGACATGTAGGAGTGGGTGGTCATCCAGAGGTGATGGTGACTCCGCCAAAAAGCAACTATGAGCTTGACGCTCCAGTCCGCTTAGGACTGCTGCCACAGACCTTCGTATTGACGTCACACCACGGCAACATTCCGAAAGTGGTCTATGTCCATCGCCTGGTGGTGGTGACACCACAGGCGAAACTCCGGAAAATAACGACGCGAGCTAGCGGAATTAGTGGGAAAGATCGGTGAGGGTATACCAGAACGTTCGGTGGCTCTCGGGTGAGCTTTCTTCATGATCTTGCGAGGCGGCTTCGGCCAACGTGCAGTCCTGGAAAAGCCACAGGGAGCAGTACAGTGGTCGATGCTATCAAAGCGTTGACCACGACGTGGAGTCGCACGATGGTTCGGGACAGCTCGGCGGGGCTTTCAGGCGAACCGCATGCGGAGCCAGGGGTGTCATCGTAAGATATAAAGTGCTTCTCCATTAGCGCACTCACTGTGGCGGTATCCTTGGCCGGGCGTGTTTATATACAGCACCCGTGATCGGCTGATGTGCCGATGTAGTACGGAGGGTGACGTCACGGGGGGAAGCGTGGTGAACCCGTTGATTGGAAGCGTTGACATAATACTGTGGAGCCGCGAAGGAGGTCTGTATGCCTTCACCTAATGCTTGTAGGACCGGCAGGTAAGCGGGTACCGAGGAGGCCTGGAAGCCGCCCTCGATCTGGGCTTCCTGCTGTGGCAAGCTTGCAGATGCCATGGCCTATAGGAAGCATGGACGGCGTTCCTGGAGGGGCGGGTCCGCAACGCCGAAGATGCTGATCCACAGGTGGCTTCGTTTATGACGACTGCGCCATTGTAGTGGAGAAATGAGGGAAAGAGACAACGCCTTTGCGGCAGGCCAGTTGTTCTTTATCTGACCTCACTCTCCTCGTCTTCGCAGTCGCCTAGCGCGCATCCTGGCGCGAATTGCGCTTCTTTCCTTACAATACGTATACATATACGGGAATGACGGTGGCTTCAGCGGTGGCGGTGGCGGCAGCGGCAGTTTCACTGGCGACAAATGATTTATGAGAAAAAGACGTGATCATATTTTGCTGGCAATAGAAAACAGGAGTTGTTTTTACGAGTGCCTACCAACTAACATGTGTTGTGATGTCAACTCTTAAAAAAGAAAGCATGGTAAATTTAACGTTTTTCTTTGTAAGACACCATATTAATGAGAACGAATGAACAGTGATGCCAAGGCAAGTATAGGTGATGTTTTTCTGTAATAAGCACAATGCAAAGGTGAAGAAATTAAAGTGAATGAAAAAATACTTGTCTTTGGAAGAGGCCAAACCACCGAATGGTCCCACGTTTCGTCCCAGCTTGTGGAAAGTTATCTTCTCATCGCACTTTTTTTTTCGCGTATATGTCCTACTTACTAAAAAACACATACACTGTATTTTCATTGGTATTATGGCTTTGAAGTACTCAATAGTACAGTGTGCTGCATAAAACAAGTATTCCGCAATTACTCCTCCACTTGGCAATAAGGTGACTGTAACACTACTAAGACTTGATGATGTTGATGCTTTTGAAACATAACAGCCTATATTTTCTACATTAGCAGTTGCGATTCAAAGCTATCTTTACTAGGACAGTAAATAGTAGGAAGGACATTCAGGCCTGAATTCAAAGCACTTCCTGCCAAAATTATAAATGAATCCAGAGATTGAAACTTGACGCCATGGTGACAAATTTCAATCTCCGGATTCACTTTGAATTCTGCATAATAGCAAATTCAGTATCTGAGAGCGAATGTTGAACCAATGAGTGAAGGTACTTACGCCAGCAGGCTTATTGCCATTCGGGGAATAAAGCAGTTGCCGCCATCTTGAAGAAGTTATGCAACGTGGTAGCTTTTTCGCGAGGTAAGTTTCTTACTGCATTCCCTATCTGTTATTTAACTGTATACCTAATAGACATGTAAATGTTGTTTTAATATATTCTCGTATTGAGTGAGGGTGGGAACTTATGAGAAGGCGGAGAGGTTGGCCTGAGATAGTTCGCTCTAGACTGCTTCTCTACACAGATGATAAGAGAAGGGGGAAGGAAAGACGACGAAGGACGATGGTGGAAACAATTGTTTCGAACCGTACTCTTGCAGTTATTCACATTGTAGTTATCCCTTCATTGTACTTTATTGCTTGCTGTCATGCACATATCCACGTGGTTTTTATCGAATACTGTTTCAAGCCTGCCATGGTTTTTCAAACAACTGTTACACGACATCGGCAACGAAAGAGCATTATAGACGACGAAGACGTTGAAAGCAACCATGCTCGTGTTGTTGTTGCTGGTGTACCTCCATCTTGGCTGCAGCTGCCTCTGACTCTCCCTCTATATTTTGTGAATATATTTATTTCATTCATTCTCGCACCCCCGTGACATTTGGTGGAGGTGTGGGGTGCAACACGATATAACGGAGCTCCGCAGTGACTGGCGCTTGCATTTTTCCACCATGGCAAACCAGGGACCAGCTCCCGCCGAGGCGACTAGAACAACAACTGTTGTCCTTCCGCAGCTAAAAGATCCTGGCACGTTCTGTGGCACGGATGATGTCGACATCGAAGAATGGTTGCCGTTGTACGAACGTACAAGTAAGAATTACCGCTGGGATGAAACTCTTATGTTAGCCAATATCCTGTTCTACTTGGAAGAAACAGCAAAAGTGTGGTTCGAGAACCGCGAAGATGAAATTGGATGCTGGGATACGTGCTAGGAAAAGATGCGCACCCTTTTCGGCAAGTCTGTGGGTAGAAAAACAGCGGCCAAGAAGAAGTTGGCATCTGGTGCGCAAACGTCATCAGAGTCCTACGTGACTTACATACAGGACGTGCTTACCCTTTGTGGAAAAGCAGACAATGATATGAAAGAAACCAAAAAAGTAGCTCACATATTGAAAGGCATTGCAGATGATGCATTCAACCTTCTCATATGCAAGGACTGCTACACGGTCGATGCCATTATGAAGGAGTGCCAGCGTTTTTAGGCCGCAAAAAGTCAACGTATCGCCCATAATTTCACTCCACTACCAAACATACCAACAACCTGGTCGTGCGAAGACGGGCCTGCACTACAGATGCCGTTAACTGCAGAGCACGTGACCAAGATCATCAGACGTCAACTTGAAGCTCTGTCTCCTGCGTCTATGTGCTCCCATGCCTTTGACTTTACCCTTCAGATGGTGCCACTGGTACATGCTATTGTGCGACAAGAGCTTTCCAATGCTGGACTGGCCTCCGAGTGCACTACAGCTCCCTCTCAGCCGATCGACTGTCGTCGAACCCCTGTTTTGTATGCCCAAAGCCAAAACCTTCCGGCGCGCCCTCGCAATCCAGCCGAATGGAGGACTGCTGACGATCGCCCGATTTGTTTCAACTGCCACCGTATCGGACACGTGGCCCGCCATTGTAACACTCGGTGCTATTGGCATCACGCATCCTATGGGTACACCCATCGGCCAGAGAGGGATCATGAACCCTTTCAAACTTACCGGGAGTCACCTCAGGCCACCAGTGAAGACGTTCCTTCTATGCCGCCATATCGTCGTCGCTCTCCATCTCGGCATGCTCAACAGTCCCGTTCACCGCTCTCCCGTCGCCCGTCGTCTCGCTCGCCCCAATTTTGCCGACCAACGTCACCGACTGACCACCTGCCGTGGGAAAACTAGATGATGCAGCTCCCGGAGGTGGTGCTGCATCGACCAGTTGCCCGCCAAATCTTCTGACCATGCTGCCGACTCGACGCAACCTTATTGACGTTGAAGTAGATGACACACCCGTTGTTGCACTTGTGGACCCAGGAGCTCACATATAAGTGATGAATTCAAAACTTCGTTGCCGCCTTAGGAAAGTTTTAACGCCACCCACAGTGCCACCGTATCGCCGTATTTAGACACACCGTATTTAACATTGCCGTATTTAAAAATAAATGAAATACGCACATGACATGCACAGAATAAAATAGCAGTGCACAAGGTATCTTCAAGTAACTGGTAAAGCGCCACTGTGTTTCCGATTGTTCGGACACATATCCGAATCTTCTGATACCATTAGGAAAAAATATTCTGATTACTGCCTTACTAAACTTTTCTGTCAGCAAGCTTCCTGCAAACAAATGTTGCCGTAAAGTTCGCTATATACAACTCTCTCTGTATGCAGTGACTGGTTTACCGGTATGGTCATCGATACTCGTGAATGGGGCTGTCTGCACATTCTATACGTCCATAGTAAGTATCTAGGACACATTCATGAAGTACATTATGGTGTTTTTTTGCCTGTGTTATCAGACCTAATTTAATTTGTTCGGCACAAAATAAAGTATGAAATGTTGAAACTAAAATGTCAAAATTTATTCGCATTGGACTTTAAGGACGAATACGTTTCAATTATGACATTTAATTCGGCGAATATTAGCACCAGTGTGACGTGCGCGGTGGGTGCAATGTCTGAAGTCAGGCAAATTAATATTTGAGCGCAAATTTTAGTTAGAACGCCACTATACTATTTAAGACCATGGAAACACAAAGCATTACTATTTCGTGGGGATGCCGGCATTATCACTGGCCATGCAAGAAACGTACCGTAATATCAGGGGGCCCTCGCTGTTACGCCCTATAACTTCAAAAAAAAAAAAGAAAAAGATTATTGGCATTGCACGATAAATGGTGCATTGCTCCGAGCACGCTAGAGTAGCCAATGCCACTACTTAATTTTTTGTTAGTGATACCTATTTAAGTAGGGGTAACTGTATTCACAACTCGGCAAGTACCTAAATATTTATCAATATGCCTTTGATACATATGTAGGAATTTTGAAATGGCATCTAGCTGCCCTATTTTCTACAATGCTCTAACCACGAGCCAAATTTTCTTGGTTGATTAAGAAAGCCCGTGAAATTTGGGAATGTGATCCCGGGAAGCTTGTAGCATAAGGATAACACAACCGTTGATGTGACGATGTCAAAAAGACATCGACCGCATAAAGAGAGTAAATACGATGGGAGGTGAGGTTTTGCATATGCTTACTTCATTTATAAAATCAGTGCTTACATGACTGACCAAATGGCAAATGCCGTTCCCGCGAAGAGTACTCCTAACCGCTAACTATACAACTAACGCTTATTTGTTTATCCAGGGTGGTATCAAAGCGGTTGTATGGACCGACGTCATCCAAGTGATCCTCATATTCATTGCATACATCATGGTCATCGCATGCGTAAGTATTGCATGGTGTTATGAAAGCAGTGAAACACCCTATGTGCACGAGCTTTAACACGGTACGGTAAGTTGCAGTAAGCATTACAACCTGACTGAAAACTTTTTCAAAATTGCAGCAAGAATGTTAATGAACAGTAAGACATGATGATACGCCTGTTTATGCACTACCTTACATGACACAATAATAATGAGAACTAACAGACAACAATACTAAGAGAAGCATAGGAGTCGTTATTAAAGACAACTCTATTGAAAATGTGAAAAGAGAAAAATGTACAAAAATATAACTTGGCACCGGTAGGATACGAACTTGCGACCTTCAAACAACATGTCCGATGTCCTACCACTGAGCTACGGTGGCAGCCATCTCTCCGTTCAATCTATAGGGTATATAGGTGCATTAAACGTGGCAGCGTCAACCAGCGCCACCTGTTGCAAAGGTGGCTTGTGTGGAACGCTCTTTTTTTGCCTGTTGGCGTCTCGTAGTACGTGATCTTATCGTGAGTGGGCGGATGACCAATATTCCCTCACATACTACCTGAAAGCAACAATGAAAACTAGCCCACAAACTTACACTTTCTTCATTCATTCATAGCAAGGATCTCGTTTTGGCAGACTTCATGCCTTCAAGTAGTGTGGGAGAGATTATTGGTCAGCGGCCAGCTCATAACAAGATCACGTGGTACGTGACGCCAACAGGCAAAAAAAGAGTGTTCCACATTCGCCGCAGTTGAAACTACCGGCACTGGCTGACGCTCCCACGTTTGAATGCACATATATACGCATGTAAAGCAGACGGAGTGATGACCAACACAGTTGTACAGTGATGAGCCATCGGACGCGTTATTTTAAGGTCGCAGATTCGTACACAGCCGGTGGCAATATTTTTATCCACTTTTTTCTTCTTCTTCACATTTTCATTACAGTTACCTGTAATAACATCTTCTATACTTCTCTTGGCAATGTTGACTGTCAGTTCTCATTATTATTGTGTCTAACAAAGAAAATGGGCTCACTAACTTAGTTTTAAACGACATCAATACATTCAGTAAATATGTTCCAGCTTCACTGTTTTGAGTCGTGTGCACAGACTCATGAGTTTAAGGGCATATTAAATACGCGGAAAGCGTGAACATTGTGCATGTAATATGTAATAACTGGTAATATATTGCGTTATCGCATGTGACATGTTTTGCACTTCTTTCTCTTATAATAAATGAAGTGAAATATTCAAAAAAATAATGTGTCAAGTAATTCTATCCAAAGAATGGGTATGATAGGAGAAACGGGATGTATAAGGGGCGTAAGCAAAATTTTTGGGGGGTGAGGAGGAGACATGTCTTTGAATTTGAAGAGGGAATACCCCTTACATTGTAAATTTTCACTCTGTGAGCTATCACAAAAAAAATATTTGTACGAGAGGCCTCGGGCCTGGTGTGCCATGGGGCCAAGTGTTAATAATTGTAATGCAAATGTAAAGATGAAATGTGCACGGAAAGATAGCTTGTCGCTGGCAGGAACTGAACCTGCCACCTTCGAATAATGCGCCTGGGGCTCTACCAGCTAATTTACAGCAGCGGGCGTCTCCCCGTAAACTTTAGGGGGAATATATATGCATTTAAACCGGCGAGTGCTAGTCAAGCTTCACATTCGAATTAGAATTACTACAAAATAATACCCCTTATGCTATCCTTGGAATCATAGTCTTGTTATTCCACTTCTTTCCTACACTCATGACTTGCACTCTTCTCGATAAGAAGCTAGCTTGCGTGGCAGTAAACATATTCATGTCGGACAATGTTAACAGCCCACCTCGCGGCCACCATCGCTCGTAATGCATTGCTGGTCATACAAAACAGCAAAAATAATGTTTTACAATAGAAATATTCTAGGTAATACTGGATATACTCTACAACTAATGAGAAAGAACATTTGTCTACTTGTCACTGTGGCGTCTGTTTCAATATTCAAATGCTGCTTCACAATCATGGTGAGGCTATGCGTGTATTTTGTGAAAAAATTATTCGGGAAGACGTTTTCATGATGCATTGCCAAGATATATGCTTTGATGGTCAAGGAATGATTCAAAGCCCTTTCACAGAATGCAGATGTGGGTGTGGCCTAAGCCTTACTTGGTGTGCCGAACTATAAGGTGTTCTGGGCATGGAAGTCTGCGAGTAACCTTGGTGCTGCATAACACACAGTTTTTTGGATCAATTATTTAGGAAAAATTTAATTTCATCTGCTTTTCCTACTATGTTTCAGGGTTTGCATCACTTGGGAGGCTTCGGAGTCATGTGGCAGAACGCGAGGAATGGAGGACGCGTGATATTTACTAAGTAGGTTGGCGAAGGCTTGGTGCATTTGCTAGACAGGCTTTCAATTTTTTTTTGGTCTGAGACTTGTACACACTTTCGGAAATGACTGTTTGTTCATGCTGAAGACCTGTTTGTTCTTCTGCAGCATGTAAGGTTGATTCGGCTGCTCCTCAGAGAAGATGCGTTTGAAAGGGATTCGTCGCGGCACCGCCTCATTCACAATCACTGCCCGAGGGAAAGTGCTTACGGATAAACTGTTGAATGACATCTTCAAGCTCACTTACACGAACCACCGTAAGACAACCGCATACCACCCCCAGAGTAACGGATTGACAAAAAGGCTGAACAGAAGAGTGGCGGACATGATCTCTATCATGTGGTTGTGCAGCATAAAACGTGTAATGAAATCCTGCCGTACGTAACGTTTGCGTATACAACACCACAACGCAGGAAACGACAAGGCTCGCACCCTTGCGCCTCGTTTACGGTCGAGACGTGCAAGCCATGCTAGACGCCGTGATTCTTCATGATATTAACCAGTGCGAGGAGTTAGCTCCTGACGTCGATGATTACATTCAGCGTTCAGAGGAAGCGCGTCAACTCGCCGCGTGCACATAGCAGTGTGCGGATACACGAAGATACAATACCCACAATCGACAAGTTATCTATAAACCTTGCGACTAAATTTGGGTTTGTACTCCTGTTAGACGGCAAGGTCTAAGCGAGAAACTACTGAGCAAGTACTTCGGGCCCTGCAAAGTATTACGGCCGTCGAACAAGGTCAAGTATGAAGTTATCCCAGACGGAGGCTCTGGAACGTCCCAGCACCACGCACCAGTCACTGAGATTGTGCACGTCGTTCGCCAAAGACCATATATTATGCGGTGATGCTCGCCTTATTGTGCTCGTGCAGCAAACTTTTTTTTTACATTTATGTTGTTGGTTAGCTATCTAAAAGCACTGTGAAGTGCGTTATTTCTTTTCATAATTCCTACCACAAACTACTTTTTTACCAGCATATGCACTGTGGGCTATAGGTATCATTTATTTTTTCTGGCGATTTTTTTTTGGTAGACCCCTTCAGTGTTCCATGGCGTGTGAGCATCAAGTCGATGCTCTATTCGGAGCAGAAATTATGCCACCTGGCGTTGTTAGCTCGCAAGCCGCGGCCAGCCGAAAGGAGTGAAGTAGACAGAGACGAAGTGTGTCAGTTTTTTTTTATTTGTGCCAGTATGCTCTATGGCATAGCTTAAAGAAAAAAGTTGTTTTCTGTATGAAGGCCAGGAGTGGTCGATGCAGTGGACCGTGTGTCCAGCAGGTCATGTCAGGGGGGTGGGTCGTTCACGATACACGCTCGTGTATTACTGCCTCACTGTTCATGCCTTGTTGTGCCTACGGCCTCTAGTGCGTGGCAATATTATTAGGACATGAATAGTTTGCACGGTATTACAGTACACTATACTGCCATCATCACAGCCGAGCGTTTCTATGTGACGGTTCACTGCGATTTTTCAATAGTTTGAACCGTACACGAACTGACTGTAAACACGCTTTTCAACCGTTTATTAGGATCACCCAGCCAATGTCTGCTTATCCGCACCTTCCCCAATATTTGCGTAAAGGTGCCACGCCACCTCGGTTGTAAGGTCCTCTTCTGAGATACATGGCATGAGCACCACCCCTAAGCAGCAGTCAATAGCACAATTGATTACTTTTTTATTCCGTGCTTTGAAACTGAAAATTTCGTGCTTTTACACCTTATCCGACCAATTTCAAGCATGCATTATCGCTCCTCGTTCGCAGTTTTGACACAAGCCCTTACGAGACGTACACTACGTGGTCAATGATTCTTGGCTTTACGGTCACGTTGATGGGCATGTACTGCGCCAACCAGACACAAGCGCAGCGTTATACTAGCATTGGATCCCTGAAAGGAGCCCGGAAGTGAGTTATTTAATTAATCTCTAGGATATTTCAATTTATGGCTTTATGAAGTTTGTGATTTTTTACTTTCAATCAGGGGTATTTTATCCAGTGTTATTGTGAGTCTCATTTCGTAGTCACGTGCTTCATACAATTGATATTGTTAGTTAGCTTGTGGAGCAACAGGATGACAAGATGTATATTATTATCTTTCGAGTGCAAACACATGTCTACCAAACCTTCTGTAATAATATTTAGATGTGTACATTTACTTTGTGTGGATGACACATACCCGCACACAGATAGACACAAAGTATACCTCTTCCTGTCCTAAAGCAGTGGCTACTGCGGATTAGTGAAATCTGGTCACGTATAAATCACACGTACGCTACGCGGGTATGTTGAGAAACGTTTCAATTGTGCAAATTGTAAAACAAAACAAAACAAAAAATCCCGTGCATCCACAAAGTGATTGATGATTAAGGAGCTTGCTCCTGAGGTTAAATTCGGTGAACCATGAATCCTCTGTAGATAATCCAAATCGTCATAAAATAAAGACATGACAGGAGTGTTGTGGTGTGATTGTATATACACGTCATATAAACAATGTTTATTATTTACATATCACTTTACTATATACAGATATTTACGTACTGGTGTAGTATATACATTTTGTTCAAGAGCTATTCACGGATCACATAAGCTCGGAGGGATGTTTTTCTCTTAGTATAATCGTTTTGTGATCCCTAAAGCACAAAGCCCTCCGCGCTGCCACCTTGGGTTCTGCGATGTTCATAGTGGGTAGCAGTATCGACGCGCACTGAGTGATTGTCCGGTGAAAGAGAAAGGAAGCACGCCGAGAGCGAGCGCTATACATAGGCGTGTCTCGCGTGACGGGATGAACTCCAGTAAATGCGTCGCAGAGTGATGGGGGTATCGCGTAAATGTGCGTAGTTGCATATGGTTTGGTAATGCTCACTTGCTATTTCGTCTTTATTACTGTTATCTATTGAATGAAAGAGAAGCGTTGTTTTGAACGAGTGGTGGGACGAGGATGTCCCAACCAGTTTCCATATCAAGGAGGTTTAAAAAAATTGCTGGAGTGGATATTCTTGGCCACGAGTGAAGCCGTGCTAACCGTAAGATGGTGGCTATGGCAGCCATCTCACTAAGGGCATCATGAGCTGTTGGCGTTCAGCGATTGAGAAGGTGCGTTTTTCTCGCACGCCCAACGAATTCAACATGGCAAACTTTGAAGGCCAGATAAAGCTCAAAGTGCGTACTTGTGTTACTTGTTTTCTTTAGTAAGCCTCGAACTAAAAGCTAATCTCATTGGAGATTAAGTCAGTGATACTAGTCACTGCAGAATATTTCTTCGGAAACAACTATCTTGATTTATAATTAACGTAGCCTTTAGACTAACAAATAAAAGCCCCTTGATGTCTAAGTGGGCACCACCAGAAATAGCATTTTTCTGATCTCTTTGAAGGGCAAAAGCTGGCTTCACTAATGCTGGCACAGCATTGCGGGAGCTACCACTCCGGCAATGTTTCTTTTTTTAACTTCCTTGGCCTATATATAGAATGGCCCCTGAAAAGTTGTTAAGCGCGAGCAGTCGGTTTTTACTAGCAGATGTTGCCTGCGCTGGTCTTGCGAGGCGAGAGAAGAAGGGGCGGGCGGCACTTAGCACGAGACGCAAGCATGCACAGCGGGGTTGCTGACGCTGCCGCCGAGGCCGAATTTGAAAGTCGCCTGAGCGGCGGCGCGCTATCCAGTCAACGCTCTTGAAATGAACAGCACAGCTGTGCCTCTAGCGGGAGCAATGAGAACCTGCGTACACATCGGCGCATTGGCGAGAGACTACCCCCCAGCAAAAGGAGCAAGCTCCTAAAATAAACACAGGACACCCTTGAAAAGCTGCTTAGTGGTACTATATGGTATTGCCGTTATAAAATGACAGTTTTGTCAGAGCCTTGTCTTGAACTTTGTCTAGAGCCACCCATTTTCTGAAACCTTAACGCGGGAGCATCGAACACCGAGTCTTTAAGCTCCTTTACCGGGCATCCTGCTGTCCGGTTCCCGGAAGAGCCTAGCAGAAGACAGCTGCACAAGACGCAGGCATGCGGATATTCTCGCTCATTTTGCAGCTGTGCTGTATTAAACGCTGCTTATCGACGGGGCGGCTGGCGCTCGCGTGTTTAGGCTAAAAAACAGCCGTACATATAAATATGAACAGATTGACTTCTAAGGTTGCCCTGCAGGCTGCTAGCCACGGACCCTCAAAAGATATTTCGCTGTTGAACTGCATCATGCAAGTTCAGCGTGTTTCTCTTTAACGAGTGTTCATATTTTCACTGACGCTGTGAATGTGTATGATTGCGCAGAGCACTGATGCTAAACGTCCCAGGCATGGCGCTTAACATGATATTGGCTGTGCTGTCCGGACTGACTCTGTACGCCGTGTACGGGCGGTGCGATCCCAGGCTTACTGGAGACATCCGCAAAGCAGATCAGGTAAGTCACACGAAGCTCCATTAAAAGGCTTCGTTGAACACTTATTATATGCTGTGGTAAGTAATGGTTCCTGATATTGGATGACTTGATGATGAAGCGTGTGCGTATGGATTCTTGCAGGTCATTTTTATCACCAAACATTGTCAAGCAAAACGAGCTTAGTAAGCTTTTGGAACACAATCTCTGCCACTCGAATACATCATGCTGCAACAAACTTCGACCCACCGAAGTGGTCTAGTGGCTATAGTGTGCTCAACTACTGACCCGAAGGTGACGGGATCTCATTCCGGCCACGGCAGCCACATTTCTGATTGAGGCGAAAATATTTGAGGCCCATGTACTCGGATATGGTTGCATGTTAAAAAGCTCCAGGTGGTCGAAATTTCTGTACCCTCTTTACCTAGGGCGTCTCTCTTAGTAATATCACGGTTTTATTACGTTGGAGCAAAACAGCTATTATATTTTACAATTAACAGGAAAGTGCGTTGCAGCAATAAGGACGTGTATTTTGCAATGATCAGCTGCGGTATTTGTAAGTTTCGCTTTGTGCACCTAAGATTATTATTGATAAGCGCGATGACGCACAGTCAGACATAAAATTCAGAAAACATAAAGTATGAGAAAAGGTGATATTTCTCATGAGTTTTGCGGCTGCATTACACAGAAGTGCGCAATATATGTTATCAGCATGTTTTAGAATAGGCCGGAAACTTAAATTTAAGTTTCTCTGCTGAAGCAAAAGGAATAATCAACATTTCGTTCGTGTCTTCTGGCCCATAAACTTTGGACCCTGACTGTAAATTCGAGCTGCTTTGGTGCGAATTTATCTCCTTGCTGTTCCATGTTGCTGGGGTGCTCGTTTATGTGAATATGTATGAGCTTCATTCACCGCGGCTGATTCAATAGACCGCAAACTCATCACAATAGTTTGAAGAGAGCGGAAATGAAGAATAAAATGAAGTAAAAATGAAGGAAATGAAGTAAAAGTGTGATGTTCCAGCGTTTCAAATAAATGAGTTGGGACACGTTTTCCTAAACAATGATTGGAAGTCGCAACGCTATTGCCTACGACGGGACAAGCAGTGGTTAAAGAGTCCGCGAAACGGTTTTTTTTTTCAGATTGCGTTTTCGATTAAACCACTGCTGGAGCAAATCATTGCACCGGAGTTAAATCGAAACACCTATTATTAATGGAGCTACGAGTACTAAAAATGTACCCTCCTACTCCGTTTCGCCTTTCCTTCTCAACTGCCCTCAGCTCTTCCTTCAAGCTCTCAGGGCTAAGCTTCGCCTTCACGGCGCCTACGTCACAATGAGTCGTGATACCGCACATGCGTAAATCTCGCCGCCGATCCAATACCAGCAGTCTGCGGTGCGCGTTCCACAGCCAATCAGATCAGCTGGAAACGATGGCGTCAGTGCGGCAGAGCGTGTCGCTTGGTGTATGGGTAGTTGAAAACACGTTTGGCCGAGTCGCAGTGATCTGCAGCCATCTGCAGCCATCTGGAGTGATTCTCAGCTTTAAAGCGTTGTAATAAATTACACAGTTTACGCAGAGAGCTCAAATCAGTCTCTAAATTACCCTTGGGACTTAGTCTACCGGCCCAATTGGTTTGTGAAAAATCGCCAAAACTGTCTCAGGGTCCCTTTAATTTCTGAGTTTCATAGAGGAACTGCTCGAGCAACTGCACAAGCCAGGCGCGCCAAACACCGTAGTTGTATTAGGTTAACACTAACACATATAAAGAATAAACGTGAGATGCATGTGTACGTTGTTATATTTCCGTACCTGGATGCCCTATTGGACGTTGAGTTGTGCGGAAGCTTGACTGTATGCTGTCGTTACTGAGAGAAAGGCTTCATCTCAGTTATTTGTTTCAAATTTCGAACAACAGCACATCTCTAGGAGAAGCCACATCCCTCGCATGGTGTAGCTGTAAATGGTAACGAACAATAGGAGAACGACGACAACAACAACAACAAAAACAACAACAACTAAAGCAGCGAAAATTAGCTACTTCCTTTCACTAAAGCAGCAAAAATGAGCTACTTCCTCTCACTGTGAAATATTCAGACTGTTCCAGAGAAAAAGTTTCATGGAACACTAAACAGTTGGAGAACCGGGAATAAAATGTTTTTCATTTTATAGCATTTATTACACGGTCGTACACACTGTCTTCTTGGGCACCCACGGTAGGTCACAAAAACAGCGTATCGCACCCAATGAACGCTGGCGTTCTGAACACTATTCTGAAACAGTCTACTCTCAGGGATTCCCATATGAGCGTTCGCATTCCTGTGACCACAATCTTAGTCATCTGGTCACATTCAACATGACAGCATCTGCAGTCATGTAGTAATCATACCATTGCTTATCCAGTTGCATACAATAACACAAAAATATATACAACACATTTCTTTCGGCATTTTACAGCTCATGCCTTATATCATTCAAGACCTGCTTTACGAGTATCCTGGTCTCTGCGGTTTAATGGCAGCTGCTGTCTACAGTAGCTCGCTCAGGTAAGGTTTCAAGTTGTAATGTGTCCTCTCAACGTGTATATATATATATATATATATATATATATATATATATATATATATATATATATATATATATATATATATATATATATATATATATATATATATATATATATATATATATATATATATATATATATATATAAAGAAGTGAATTCAATTTGATTGCGTAGATTTCCTTTTTTGTGCAACAAATTCTCGCTCAGTAATGTAAATATTGCGGCAAGAACGCCGTCATGAGACAAAATAAAGAACCACAAGACTAACGAAATAACCAGCAATCTGTCTCGTTTTCTCAGAAAGTTTTTCGAAAGCTCGACCTCAGTCGAACAATTTTCCAAAGCAAACCGTAACAGAACGTCGCGGTTTGTGATTATGGTCGCTGACAACAGCGTCATGTGGTAGATTGCCATGTTTTCTATAGATGATTACCAGTTTCTGATTGAAAAAAAAACGTATCCTGATTTGGGGGTAACAGCGACATTAGAGATAGCCTAGAACATTGCGGCCTACAGGGCCTTTTTTTGGGTACCTCACAACGCCATGGCCACTGGCAATAAAGAACCAACACAACGTGTTGGCTCCTATCACTGAGTCAGCTTAAGAGAAGTGAAAATCATTCGATGGCTTAAAAATATTTTATCAGCTGAGGGTAGCTTAAATATCCTCTTTTCAGCACGCTCTCATCCGGGTACAACTCTCTAGCCGCTGTGACGTGGGAAGACTTTCTGCGCCCTTGCGTGAAAACTTCTGAATCATCTGCTCTGCGGATAACTAAGGTGACTGGTACGTCATTGTCGAACAGATTTGTTCTCATAACATGAATTAACCCGTATCAACAACTATTTACAGCTGCTACGTACGGGATTCTTTCAATGTCGATAGCCTTCCTCGTCGGGACCATGGAATCTATCATGCAGGTATGCACGGTTTTGAAGCATTCTACATCATGAATAGGAATAACTATTCAGCAGCGCACGAGCACTGAGTGCCCCTTTGTTTTCGTTCTCGGCATATCCGGTAGAGAGCTCTTTTCCAGTTTTAAAACTATTATTATAAGGTTCTATGAAAATAGAAAATAGCAACTATGGTTGAAGTTAAAATTATAGATACAAACCATAACGACGCGTAATTTCACTTAAGCTAAGGACTTATTAGCCATGAAGCCATCAAGATAATTAATAAAAATGAATGGTTGCGTTCATGGATGAAGTACGAGCCGATGCGATTGCGCGGCGACACCTTACGGAGCAGGTCTCACCCGCATGAATTTTGTCTACGTGACCCGTGAGATCCGCTTCTGAAGTGCGAGAAACACAAAGCTTACCTTAAGAAAACAGAAGTTATATGGATGCTGGAAGCATGTAAATGTGACAACAATTCATCAAGACAAGGTGCCGATGATTCCAGCGCTTATACAAATGACCAAGGTTGCAGCTGGCTACACTAGCTCGTGTATGTACGCCCTTGAAGTTTTCTAAGAATATCGCGTGAGCGCCATGTGCGGGATATGGTCGCTTTCAATATTCTCCTAAAGAAACAACATCAGTCGATGATTCGCAAGCGCGCAAACCACCCTGAACTGCGAGCTCCGTCTCATCAGCTGTTTCTTTCAACAGATATTTCAGTAATCTTTAAGTAAGCAGTGCCATACAGCACAGCACATCGTAGAAATGATCCATATTACGGGAATGCGTGCTATGCGCCACCAAGTGAAAGTGTGCTCGACTGTGCTACTTTCTGTTGCATTATCCCCTAAATTTTGTTTATTGGGTGGTTTGCAGTGCAGGGTGTATTGCGCGCTTGAGCATCGTCAGCAAGTGCAGTTACACTTTGTGAGAATAATAAATTTATTATATCGTGGGCTCCGCGCTCCTCTGACAGTGTGAAAAAAATTTCAAGTGTGTATACGTATACGTTCCAAAGTACACATTTGCAGCTTGGCTCCAGCGACATTGGCTCCAGCGTCACCTGGTGTTCACAAATTTTTTACCTCTTAAATTTAAGCAAAGAAGGCACCATGGAGTGCACACGAACGCCGATGTGCGGCTACCAGACTCGTTACTCAAGGATTTGGGTCACCTTCAGGATTTCTTAGAACTTTGCTTCCTCTAGCCGTCGCAGTTGTGATGGTACAGTATCTTGATATGCAATGATTTTCATTACACCCAACTGGCGTGGAACATTATAGTCCACAGAGCCTCGTGATGTGACATCAATGATTGGGTGAAACCGCCAGCTAATAAGAGGGGCACGTTTTCGCAAAGCTTGTGGTCGGCTCCTGAACATAACTGATGCTCTTATTCGTTTACGCTTGAACAGATGAGCCACATGTTGCGAGAAGTAAGTTATTCTCAGGTTAGAAAACTTGCAAACTAAAATGCGGTTGTCATAAAAGCACGTCAATATCTGATCATTGCACGCCTTAGAAGTATAAGGACCATTTTTTTCTGGCTGTGAAACCGAATTGTAGACGAAATTGTGGCTACTCGAATTGAGAGACGTGGTACTACCACACGGAAATGTTAGCTTCTAACTGTGAACGTGGACATGTTGTGTCATAAATTGACAATAACAACAAAAAAAATTGGCTGTTTTGCCGAACACAGGCTGCCTCATCACTCGGAGGTGCTTTGTGTGGTCCACGAGTCGCCATCTTTACGTTGGGCTTGCTTTTTCCGTGCTGCAAGAAAAAGGTAAAGGACACAGGTAAAACATCCTCGGCAGAATGCGCTTAACTGTTCAGCCAATTCGCAGGAGAGTTCACAAGAGTAGTCCTAACTACTGAGCTACGACTAAGTTTCCAAATACAGTTTTTGCCTGGTGCCAAAGTTTTATGACGATATGACTCTCAATATTCCTCTGTTTGTTGTGAAAAATAACTGACAATAGAGCACAGCAGCATTCGCGCACTTGCTTTTCCTCGGGTCCTTGTGTAGTCTTGAAGAATCTGTCGAGATGCACTAGTTCAAGTCCTACGAGTATCACACGAAGCTCTAGAGGACCATTCTGTCTACGAAGGACCATTAATTCTTTTGAGCAAACGATTTAGTTTCGCTCCTGAAGTGTGACGTTGACTACGCAACGTAAACTACAAACATTTAAAATTTCGAATTATGGGCGTTACTCGACGAACTCTAGATCAAGGCAGTAATGCTTGTTTGATAAACATTATCTCAATATGAACATTTTATATATTTAGCACCAACAATAAACACTGCACAAGTAAGAACATTATCTTATCCCGTCTCATCCAAATGAAGAGACATATCAAGCGTCCACTTACTTCAGTAAAATATAAAAACAAAGATTATTCCTATTTTTTCACAATTTTAAAGGAAAGCTAAGGGGAGTTACTGGGTCAACATGCACAATGTGTAATCCTGGCATTTTATTCTTTGACATGATATGAATCATATAGGTGACATCCTGTAAACTGAAATTCTAATTTTTCGCTATTGTATCTGTAACACGAATGACAGAAAGAGATTCTTTTACAGCGCCCAGAAATAAACATACTCACCAGACTATACCATAATCAAAGAAAGTTCAGTGCTTTCATTGGTTATGAAATTTGTCTTTGCCGCCCTTGTGCAACAGCAATCATACGCTTTAACTTGACACCATCATCGCCACAAGTACATATCAGTACGAAACATGCAGGGTGTCATCGCTGGAACTGTAGTGGCACTGATTGTCACCACTTGGATGGCACTTGGATCCATACTGTACCCGCGAAGACGCCACGCCCTGCCCACGACCACTGAGGGGTGCTCGCATTTCAACGAGACCGTTACATCTGGATCGTTTGACCCTCCGCCCCATCCGAGGTTGGCTGGCCTTTACATTCCGCTTACACAAATATTGGGGATGTAATTCCGAACTATATCTTGAAGAAAGAAGGAAATAAGTGGATGTATCAAGGGCTCGTTTTACTTGACACTTCCACAACCTATAAAGTGGACGGAGGTATGAGTGCCGCAGTAGCTAAATTAGGAAAGCATCAGCCGTGTTATTCCAAGGTCAAAGAATAGGCCCCAGTGGCAAGTTATCGTTTCGACCACTTTTTTCTTCTTCACAATTTTATTACAGTGACTTCTGACAACATCCCATATATTTTCTTTGTCATCATTGTTCATTAGTTCTCATTAACCTTCACGAAAGAGAGGGCTGAAGCAAGTAAACAAACAAACTGAAAAGGAGGTAACAGTTCAGCAATGAACAAATGACAAAATGAATCAGTCGAGCAAATAATTAGTCTGTGAATCATTAACACCGGCGAACAAGTAGTTATCAAAACAAACAAAGAAAAGAAATCACTCAGCAAACAAGGAAATACACTCAACCAAATGATAACGACAGCAAATATCACGCAATTCTACAAAATCATTCATTTAAAACCATGAGAGTTCCGCATGTGTATTGATCAGGAGCCTATGGTCTTGCGTGGTTTCCGTGCACTCGATCTTCGGTTTTTCTGTGCATAGTCGTCTGTGGCCCCCTTTCCCTGACCTTTTACTGGATAATTTAAGAGGTAGCCAAATGTGCCCCATACTTTTAGCCTGTCGTACCTTTCACGTCATATTTAGGTAGGATTCGAATAAAACAAGACTGAACTTGATGAGTTAATATAATGTTTTGGTTTTATACGTGGGTCACATCTAGAAGGATGCTTCTGTGAACCAATTGTGCATTGCAATGCCACTCTGATTGAAGTTTCTAGTTTGAAGTTTATTTTCAGTTTTGACAAGACATGAGACATGCATTGCCATGGCGCCGGAGCAAAATGCATGTTAACACACGCCTGACTATAGGCTCCTGGCCCAACGATTGCAACAGGCAACAGCGGACAAATGCAAGAAAAAAAACACATACACACGCCAACCTAATATACATGTTTTGGCGTATGCATAAATGACAATAATAATTGTACTAGTTCAGAACAGCGTAATATTATCAACTTACCGAGTAAGTAAAACGTAAAACAAATTATCTATAATACATAGAGATCGGTACGCTCTTCCTCAATAATTGGAGACAGTAATTCTTGACAATGCAACAGATGAATAAATACAAAAATAATATTAACATGACGGAACACTCGCACAAAGCAAATCATTTTCCTAAAAAGTATTGATAGCATTTCTGTTGATATATATATAATATATATATAGGCAGGCATGGTGGTTGAGTGGCCGTAGCGTTGCATATAGTCCAGTAGATCCTCCGCGAGTGGTCACAACGTAGTTTATTTCGACGTTTCGGCCTAGAGTCTGGCCTTCATCGGGATTAAAGATACAGTATGTTGGTGCTCAGCTTTATACAATCTCAAATCAGAGGGCAAGGAAAGATGAAAAAAAAACACAGAAAAGAAAAAAAGAAAAAAGAAAAAGGAAAGAAAAAGAAGAAAAAAGAGAAGAAGAGAAAAATATTATACGGTGGACGCCCCTCGGGTGCCCCCCTTCCACTCTTCCCTCCACTCCCCCCTTCATCTCTCTCTCCCTTCTCCCCTTCACCTTTCTGATGTCAGCGGTCTGTGTATGTTTCCGTTCACTAACGCATTCCTCCCGATCAGACGGCCCCTCCTGGCACTGGCAGTTCGGTGTGGGGCAAAAAAAGAGCTTTTCAGGAAGTCCTAAGCCTTTAACTACTCGGGGTCCCGTAAACAATTCGTCGTAGAAGGAGGGGTGCACCCCTCCTTCTATATATATATATATATATATATATATATATATATATATATATATATATATATATATATATATATATATATATATATATATATATATATATATATATATATATATATATATATATATATATATATATTAGTGCGTGGGCACTCTTGTGCTGGATGGCAGCGCCAACATTTTTTTTCCTTGTGCATCTTTCAGTGGGATCAACCAGCTTTACCACATCTCTTTCATGTGGTTCGCCTTCGTAGGATTTATCGTACACATGATCGTCGCACTGGCCGTGAGTCTAGTCTTCGGTAAGTCTTACTAGAAAGCTATAGAAGAGCGAAAGCTATCATAGTGGACATTTTTTGTTTTTGTTCTTTATTTAGTGTTAACCTAAACAGGTTAATACAAGAGTTGACGATGAATACCCTGGTCAATTTTGCATTGAATAACATAAGAACTGTTATTACCTTTCAACACAGCGTTTTGTGCAGCAATGTTGCCCACACAAATCAATAAAAAAAACAGAATTTTATTTTTACATTACTTAGTGTTGCGTACCCACTATACTCACAGTGTTAGGGTGAACTTAGAAATGCAGAAGTACAGAAATTTTATGGAGCTACACAAACGAAAAGTTGCTTGATTTTAGCAGTTAATGCCTCTAGGGATGCCTACTTCAAGCAAGCATGGGGCAGAGCGTTCTATTTTCTATGATAGACGGGAAGAAATAAACACTTTCAAGCGTCGCAGCTTCTCATATATGGCACTTTGTATGATTTAGTCATGAAGAGAACTGATAGTGTGGTTTGAGCTAGTCGTTCTTATTGATAATGATTGATATGTGGGGTTTAACGTCCCAAAACCACCATATGATTATGAGAGACGCCGTAGTGGAGGGCTCCGGAAATTTCGACCACCTGGGGTTCTTTAACGTGCACCCAAATCTGAGCACACGGGCCTACAACATTTCCGCCTCCATCGGAAATGCAGCCGCCGCAGCCGGGATTTGAACCCGCGAACTTCGGGTTAGTCGTTCTTATCAACAGCAAGCTTTTCGTCATGTAAGGTTATCGTGATATACACCCGTGCTTTAGAGTGATATTCTATTTAGCTCATGCGGCGCGGACCTTAATGAACTTTGGCGCCCATCCACCGACCTTGCAGTGTATGGGAAGTAGTTCAATGTTTCATTGCATTCAAATACTTCTCTCTACAAAGTGGACCACAAAAAAACTAATTAATAAAGAAACTTGATTTGGGAAAACATAAGCGATGCCATGTAAAATATAACTGTATGCTGGATAGTTGCCTAGTTTCATGGCACCTTCTGTCACGTTTAGACATCTAAAGCCCCATAACAGGCAACTCTGGGACGATATTCGTTGACAATGCCTTCTTAACGCACTTCCAACTGCAATCATTATTGCGCAACACGCGTTTTATTTTTCTGAGTGAAACACACAGGAATGAAAGCAAAAGAGTTAAGCAAACAAGAATATAAGCAAATGAATTATTCCAAATGAAAGAAAGACTAAATAAACAGTAGGAATATTTTAAAAAGAATGATTGCGCTGCCAGAAATATTTATTGAGGAATAATAATATGGCAATGTCTGAATTAAAAATAAATATAAGCGATCGAATTGTCAGCTAAATCATTTTTTTTTTGCCGAAATGTGTGTGTGCTTCTTGAGTGGTGAAAGCGAGAATTGGTGGAAAACGGATGATAATGACTACATCTGAAGTGAATGAAATGAAATGCATTTTGTTGTCAGAACGGAGCAAGTCGGACTACGTGGATCCCGCCTACGTGTATCCACCAGTGCGCAAATACATGGGGAGCAGCCTGATCCGAAGGAACGGCAGCCAAAGCCAGCTCAAGGAGGCCTTGTCAGTGGTCAGTTTACTAGCATATCCACTTGCTCAATACAAATGCATGAGCGGCCAACACAGGTGAACGGAACACGCATGACGGATGACTATATACATATTTCCCTTCCTTAGTTGACTTATATGTGCTTCTGCGAATTGCGCGACGCACTATACGTTCATTATTTATTTGAATGTTGTTTAAAATAAGTACTAAGTGGTCGAGGATTACGACACACGCCGTAACTTACAGATGCAGGAAAAAATGTAAAAATATGAAGCAAGTTAAAGCGTGCGCATGTAGAAGAGGAGATGGTGGCGTGAGATTTACGTACACGCGACTGCATGTATATTTGTATTATAAGCGTAAGAAGCAAAGGTACGAAATAAGACGGGAACACTGAAAGACGCCGAACACAAGCGCCGCCAGTGTTTGGGCATGTTCGGTGTCCCACTGTAGATATTAATTACCTTTTAATGTTTATGAGCTCCCACCGACTGACCCTTTCACTGCAGCTCTGCACAATCCTTACCTATAGTAGGTGAGTACAGGTTGGCAAGTGGCATAGTCTACACAAATATGAGCCGAAGCAGTGAAATTACATTTAAAAGGTAATAACGGCTAAATGCCGTCAGCAAACCTAAATGTATTCGTGACACTAAATACTCAAGTAGAAATGTATCTGCCCCACTTCAATTCGTCTCGTTCATGTCAGTATCTTACAGGTAATCATTGCACAAACAGGAATTTGGTGTTCCACCTACTATGTTCTAGCTACTAGGTGCAATAGTACGTATCGCAAGGCATTATGATCATATATGAAAATATGCATATGCGAAAAAATACAAAAAAAATGGTGGGTGACCACGATCACCCCAAAGCGAAAAAACCGTATGGCTATTGTTTGGAGAGAAGGTACTATAACCGCTGCGTAAGTGAAGTGTCAGTGTGTGTGCCTGCGACGTGGAAGGTACTTGGTTCAATTTCGCATATAACCTGGCAGTACTCACCTTTGTTTATAAAAAGGTAGAAACGCACACCAACCTCGCAATTGCATCAGTGGTATGGTATCTCGAGAATGTGGCCTTTCTGTCCTCTGCTATGTCACACCAGGCTGTGCTGCAATATGAGTTGAGAAATTACTGCCTTTTCGTTATCTGAAACCGCTCTGAACAAGTACAAAATAAGATGTAGGGAAGAAAAACGTAACGCCAATGCTCTGAATTCTAAGATGACAAAAAGCCTAAAAGGATAGAAAAAAATCTCATTAGGTTGGACACGAACTGCAGAATACGGGATTATTATATTATCGCGTTCCTTACTAACCATTGAGCTCATTCAGGAGATCATGTATATATAACTCTAGACTGTTACATTGCATGTTTAAAGAAGCATGTAACAAAAAAGTAAGAGCCAGGGTGTGTGAGTAGTTGCACAAAGGGGCGCACTACCGTTTCGTCAGTGTTCTTTATAAGCAAGCTACTGCTCGGACGTTATCACAGTGCGCAGTCGACACTTACCAAGCGCCACCGCACCGAATTAGCGCCTATAGACTCGGCTAAAGGGGCGAAACACGTACCGCCGCAGTAAAGCTTTCTGTAGCTCACAACGTGATGCACTGGCTCTGGCATCACGCACCACTGTGGTCTAGTGATTATGGAACTATACTGCTGTTGCGCAGGTCGCAGGATCAAATGCCGGCCGAGGCATTTTTGTTAGAGGCGGAAATGCTCCAGACCCGTGTACTTTGATTTAGGCACATGTTGAAAACCCCAGGTGGTCGAACTTCCCGGAGCTTTCCGCTACGTTGTTTCTCATAATCATATCATGGTTTAGGGACGTTAAACCCTATCAAATATTATTATAATACCACAATAGTTATTGGTAATAATAATGATAATATTAATATGGTGATCACTATCACCCCGCCACTGTAGTATAGTGGTTATAGGGCTCGGCTGCTGACCCGCAGGTCGCGTAATCGAATCTGGCAGCGGCGGCTGCATTTTGGGTGAAGGCGAAAGTGCTGTAAACCCGTGTGATGAGATTTGGGTGCACGTTAAAGAACCCAAAGGGGTCGAAATTTTCACATCCCTCCACTACCGCGACTCTCACAATCATATGGTGGTTTTGGATGTTAAATCCTACATACCAATCAATCAATCAATCAATCAATCAATCATATTATTATTATTATTATTATTATTATTATTATTATTATTATTATTATTATTATTATTATTATTATTATTATTACTATTATTATTATTATTATTATTAATATTATTATTATTATTATTATTATTATTATTATTATTATTATTATTATTATTATTATTATTATTATTAATCCTCTGGAATCGGCCAGCTTTTGGGTGATCAACGAAGGCTTTTAGACTGACTACGGCATTCGGTGGTGCCACTAGTGGTGTCGCGTACTGCCGTCACTTGGCGCCTTCACTATCACGTCCAAGATGCGTCACAAGTTTCGGTGGCCGGTGACCTCATCGCTTGCTTGGAGCAGGTCCCTTGGGTAGTTTTTGTGTGGGGACATATGGCAGACGCCGCAAAGTCCAGGCGTACCGTTTACAGCAGCGCTATAAAGAAGTCTAAATAATGTCAGAATAGTAAAGAAATGGAACTGCTTCACAAAAGGAGTGAAAGTACCGAAACTGGAACCTTGGAGTTATTTACGCCTGCTTTGCCAGTACCAGACTGAAAAAAATAATTTATGGTGGGACAGGCAACTCGCATAAAATTTAACGTTGATCTATAATCTTTTGATGTAGTAAGAAACTTTGACAATGTCCGGCTGCGTCACTAAAACAAAGACCAGTAGGTTTCACCAGGCAAATTATCCGCCACCTATTTCAGTAGTGGTTTTTGCTGATGTTGCAGAGAAATGTAGGCAAAAGTCACGCTGGAACTACCTCTAGATATAGGGCGCATTTCCTACAGGCTAAATTAAGGCTACGTCATCAAATGCAAACAGCGATCATTGCTGGCGTGATCAGATACGACGTCACGGTGTCGTCATCATGACATTGTAGGTTGCCAAATCTTGTGATGCTCTAAAGACTCATTTTGTGCACACCTTTGGAATTTCATCGGTTTTCACGTATAGGACAATGTATTGCTCACATTATCTTGGCGCACTTTTAAAATTCATCTACAAGCGAAAACAAAACTGAGGATGGGAGCAGGTTGATTGATTTATTAGTGGGGTTTAACGTCCCAAAACCGCCATATGATTATGAAAGACGCCATAGTGGAGGGTTCCGGAAATTTCAACCACCTGGGGTTCTTCAACGTGCACCCAAATCTCAGTACACGGGCCTACAACAATTTCCGCCTTCACCGGAAATGCAGCTGCCACAGCTGGGGTTTGATCCCGCGATCTGCGGGTCAGCAGCCGAGTACTTCAGCCACTAGACCACCGTGGCGGGCGATGGGAGTAGGTTTCCACAGTTGTGACCAAAGGCAATTCTGCTGGAACGAACTCTGAAAACTGCGTTGTATACAATGCTCATGCACAATGTTTGACATCAATTCATATATTTTCTTCCTACAGAACACATCGTCACCGAAGGAGCTCAAGGCACTGATCTCAGAGCTTGACCAGAGCACTTGAGTGCTGCACCATGCGAAATGTTACATTATCTACCAGTTTTAAGCTTCCTCAAAGGTGAGAAGCGGCTTGACATTGGAAATGGGTTGTAGTCACTTCGACAGTAACGCGCGATGTCATTTACGCAAAAAGGAACATGCGATATACTGGACAGCCAAAGTGAGGGCGAATGGGAAGGGGAAGTGGTGCAAAAAAGATGCTGCAGGGGTGTTAAAAATTAAAAAAAAGCGGCGCTATTTCTTGCAGCTTGAAAGCTATGGAAGCCGTAGTTTAAGCGAATAGGAGCCGGTCTGATGCGACTGCAAAAGTAGAGCACACCTTAGAAGTGTGGCAGCTTGGGCTAGTTGGTATGGCGTGACGATAGTTATAGCGCGTGAACAAAACGACGACACACAGCGCTCGTGTCTTTCGTGTCCTTGTCTCTGTGTCGTCGTTTTGTTCACGCGCTATAACTATCGAGAGCACACCTTTTTGCGCATCTGCTCTCAGCCCCGTGCTGCGTGCTTATTTCACTGCAATCGCTGTTGTGGCACCCCGGTCAGTGAAATTATCTAGAGTTCGATATTAACGCCGGCTACGCGTTGTAGCCTCCGAAGCAAGAGCATATTGTACGCCTTTCACGTAAGGTGACTGCTGTGTAATCTGGGAGATCTTTCCACTCTGCGAATTTGCTCTGCACGGCCTAAAATATGCACTCAGTTTATATTGACATATACTGGTGAAAAAGTGGGTACGAGAAGATTGCCTCAGTTCTCTTCTTCTCGTTTGACATTTCGCTGCAGCGCCGCGCTACATGATAACACCGAGGTTAAATTATATCTTTGAGAAAGATGAGCACCATGTCGCGAAACAGACGTCTGCAGGTAATAACATAAGGAACACAAAACGAAACTTAAGACAGCTTGCCACTATTCATGCCAAGCCTGAAGCAAGTGGAGACCCGCGCACCCTTCTGTTTTTGATTTCTTCCATTTTCCTTTTTCTTCCTTTTAACCTTTCGCGGTTTTTTATGTTTTCATTTCTAATTTCTTCTCCGCTCTTTTTTTCTAATTATGTTTTATTCATATCTTTTTTGTGTTCTTGCTCTACCTTTTTGTTTAAATTGCTTGGCTTTTTATATTATTTTATGTCTGATTAAGCCTGCATTGCGACAAGCTACAACAGCGTCCTCTAAGAACCCTAAAATGAGCCCAAATCTCCCTGCTTAATAACATGCTTTTAAACTTAATACTGGCTAACTAACAACGCTTTTGGGAAAACTATCCGGTGAAAAGTGCATAAAATAAAAAAAATGGGATATTACAACTGACAACTTCTGGGGACCCTGTACTGGAGCACATGTTGGTTGTTCCTCAGAGTCCGAGCGCAACCCACCGCGGGGGATTGGCTATGAAACAGACGGTGCCTCATTTGTGAGATCGAATGGTTTTACCAGCCGGGTTATTTAAATAAGAATGTGTTCAACACTCTGCTCAACGAAACCTTAACTTCGTCATTCTCATTTCAACCTTCCTGGTCCAATGCTTGAGATACGTCCTACTGAATACCCCTAATGCGACTCATAGTATTCGGCTGCATTGGTATCAAAATAATCATTTACAAACTAAAACCTAAAACGTCAAGCGGGGTAGATGAAATGAATGCAATCTTTAAGAAAAACACTGGCGAGTATTGACTATCAATCTTTTTTCCACGAGCCATTAGAGAATAGAGTGCCCTATCGCCTGATGTTGTTAACATTTTGGATAACAATGTATTTTACCACGGTTTGTGAGTGTGTTTGCTTGGTATGTTTTGGTATGTAACCCACCTACTGTAATTTCCAATGGGGCGATGCAGGTATGCAATATATAATAATAATAATAATAATAATAATAATAATAATAATAATAATAATAATAATAATAATAATAATAATAATAATAATAATAATAATAATAATAATAATAATAATAATAATAATAATAATAATAATAATAATAATAATAATAATAATAATAATAATAATAATAATACCTTCACTTGCAGTCTTACAACTTAGGCACATTACCGTACGTCTGGAAAACTGCTAGAGTAATCCCTATTCAGAAATAAAGACCATCCAATTACCCACAAAGTTATGCACCTATTTCTCTTACATCAGTGCCTGGCAAAGTTTTATAAAACATATAGTTAACACACATCTGGCTAATTTTCTCGAAAACAACTTCTTCGCATCTACACAGCATGAATTTCGCAAAACCTTTTGCTGTGACACTCAACTCATCGCCTTCACAAATATTCTAGTCTGTAGTTATAGATACCGCTTGTTCAACAGATTGTATATTTCTTGACTTTCCTAAAGCATTCCAATAAGTGAACCGTGCACCTCTTCGTCACAAACTAAGCGCTGTAAACATTAACTCAGCTGTAATTAAATGGATTCGCACCTTTATGACACCACGTGTTCACTTTGTAACCACTAACAAGATTAACACTTCACTAATCCCTGTTGATTTTTGCAAAGGTCTGTGCTTTACCTCACTATTCTAAGTCTACAATAATGAATTGCCTAGCAATGTCTCCTCAAATATATGCCATTGTGCAGATGACCACGCCTTGTATAGAAGGGTAACTGATGCTGCAGACATTTCACTAATTCAGGAAAATCTTAACAACATGACTAACTGGTGTCAATTATGGCGTATGGAATTCAACATCATCATAATGTATTTTTCCTTAAGAGCCCCTGACGGGGAATTACATAATGGGAAGTCGAACAAGGATACACAAAGGCAATTACAGACAAGGAAAATAAATGATAAAATGCAAAATCATGAGGATCTTCTCTGCTGAAGTGATTTCCACAACTTACACACCCAATAATATCCCACTAGAGAGCATAACATCATACAAATACTTGGATGTGCATACTACCAATAGCCTTTCGTGGAAAACATATATCAATCACATAGCCATCAAGGCCACTGGCACATCAGTTCACTTTCGCCAGAAGTTTTCTCAAGCAGCGTCATCATTAAAACTATTACTATTCACAACTTTCACTAGTCCGAAGCTTGAGTATGGATCATCAGTACAGGACACCAGAAAGCATAACCACCCAAAATTACTTGAAAAAAAATAGAAATTTGCTCACTATATTTCATTCTAAACAATTACCAAAGAACTGCGAGTGTTACAAACATAAAAGAAATTTTACACCTTCCGTCGCTATCACATCGCCGAAAACTATCTAGACTCTATCATTTTCATAAAATGTACAACTAAAACTCACATTTACATTCTATGCTTATTCAGCCACAACAGTACGTTTTATCTCGCATCGACCATTGCTAAAAGGTAATAACATTTGACACAATAACGCCGTCGGCCTTTACTTCATTTCTCCTTGCGACGACCAGAGTCTGGAACAATCTGCCAGCACCACTCACAAGCATAGCGAATACCAGTAATTTAAAAGTCGCACTCAAGAGTTCATTTCAAGTTAAAATCGCTCAGTGTTTGATTCACACCTTCGATTGTTTTCTGCATGCTTTTTTTCTATGCTTCTTGTACTTTTGTTTTGCAACTGGTTGCTTTTTGTACATTATGTTTTTCCATTATATCTCTCTTGGCAGTGTATCCGATGATGAAATTTTTTGAAATATTGCGTGATATTTAGGAGCTTTTGGTTGTTGTATTATTCCCTTGGCGTACATTGGCCTTTGTCCTTGTAACTCAAATTTGTTTGAAGCGTGATCGGGATATCTTATTTCTGTATTTTATATCTGCCACCAAGTGATTAATACGTGTTAACTTTTTCGTTCCTCCACTCTTCAATGTACGTTTGTATCTTTAGGGTGCTTGAAATATATAAATAAAAAAAACAGCGTATGACAGCTTTCGTTTTTCAAGCACTTCGTACTGAAAACAGAATAATTAAGCAAATTATTAGGTTGGGCGGCTGGCGAATTGATCAATACTGAATGAATATCTTGTATGAGCAGGCCGCTAGCCTCAGCATGGCCATCCAGCGAAGAAATTACTTCTTCGGTTGCACATTTTTGAAAAAACAAACAAAACAAAAACACATAAAGGGCTCGTCAAAAAGTGACGTCATGTAATGGATTTGAAATGCTTAATAATTGTGCTATTGAACGCGGATATAAACGATCGAATGACAGGCTGCGCACAGACTCACAACTGCAGATGTAAAAGAATAATAGCACATGAAAAAAATTTAAACGAAATTGAATAAACTATCAAAGTCATGAAAGAGTACTGCCTCGAGAAGAATAAAAAAAAGTGCCGCCATATCCACGAAGTGTATGATGAAGAGTGGTTGAAGCTCCGGAGGTAAACCTGGTAAACCATGAATCCTCTGTCCGTATAATTTGCCCACTCGATTTCATTACAACGCTCCCCCTAGCGTACGTCGCCGCACTAAATCGAACGATTGCCTCCCACCAATGACAGGCGCCATATGTGACATCATTCCTATTTTATAACATCTCGCATGTTTCATAATCAACTGCAAGTACCGCTGTCTAGTTTATAACTCTTGCATCTTTTCATCATCAGCTACAAGTACCGCCATCTAGTGAACACTGCAAGTACTAAACGAGAGGTGGCTACATACAGGGGACGCAAAGCCCATGCCTTAAGGAGCTTTGCCTCTAAAAAAATGTGTTTGATGTCATTTACTCAAACGAGCGATAATATATAAACTATTCAGCGTGAAACAGTTTCACTTGGGTGCTAAAAGTTTGAAGTGCACTCTAGCAAGACAAAACTTTTTTGCACAATATAATACACCAATAGCTATTTCTCCCATTCACATATACCTGCAAATTTTTTTGCAGCCTGATCAGAGATGGTGGAATATTGACCGCGTACCCATCAGGCCTCCTGGATCAGCAACATCCCCTTTGTTTCACAGCTCATTTTTACTTCAAAGTCTCGTAGCGTGCAGGACGCATAACCTGTAATACATTGTAGATACCGTATTGACTCCACCGGATGCT